ATGGTCTAACGGCGCCCTCCTGACCGTCTCGCGTCCTTAGGTCTCTGTTCACCGTGCATCCCTCGACTATTCGGCGCCCTTCTGGCCTCTCAGCGCCCCTGAACCACATATAGCGTTTTCAATCACTCGGCACCCTTTTACGAGAATGGCGCCCTTTTCATGATCTCAAGGCGCCCTCGTAACCATCTGGCGCCCCCACGTCCCCACCAACGTAGCACTACTGACTGTGCGGCGCCCTTCTGGCCTCTTAGCGCCGCTAGACCACATAGCGTTTTCAATCACTCGGCGCCCTCCTAAGAGAATGGCGCCCTTTTCATCGTCTCACGGCGCCCTCGTAAGTCGTAACCGTCTGGCGCCTCCACATTTGGTGCCCCTCCTACTGGATGGCGCCTCTCTACATATTTTTTACGTCCTTCCGGTCAGTTTCCACTTTTAAGCGTGTATTTGCTTAGTCAGACACGTCACTTGAAGCGCCATTCGGCTAGCAATGTTATCAAATTCGGTGTTAATTTAGGCTCCCACATAAAGAATATCTATCGCGCCCCAAAACGGCCTGGCGCCGGGCGCCCCTACAGCTGGGCACCCACAATCATTTTAGGAAAATTACACCCCTGCCCGTATGTGTGGTTAACTTTAAGCTGATCCTCAAGTACCTATGTGTTTGTCTCTTCCTTATTGTCGTTTGATAAATTCCATTTATCCTACATGTATAATTCCCAAGAAGCCATCGCAGTACTAATCAGTGGCGAATCCCAGGGTGGAGGTCACATGTGTCATGACTTAGGGCCTGGGGTCACCACATGCCTGCCAGGAGCACCACAGGCCTGACAGCCGACAGGGGCACCACAGGCCCGCCAGGGGTGCCAAAGGCCTAGCAGGGGCACCACGGGCCTGTCAGTGGCACCACAGGCCTGTCAGGAGCACCATCGGCCTAGCAAAAGCACTACAGGTCTTCCAGGGGCACCACAGACCTGCCAGGGGCACTAGAGGCCTGTCAGGGACACTATCGGCTTCGCAGGGGAACCACCGGCTTCTCAAGGGCACCATGGGCCTGTCAAGGGCACCACAAGCCTGTCGTTGGCAATTTAGGATTGTCAGAGGCACCACAAACCTGTCAAGGGCACCTACGTTCTAACAGGGGCACCACAAACCTGCCAAGGCCCAGGGACACCACATGCCTAGCAAGGACACCACAGGCCTGTCAGGGGCACCACGGGCCTGTCAGGGCCCATGGGCACCTAAGTCATGTCAGGGCCCACCGTAGGCTTGTCAGGGGGCAGGGTAGGTAGGTACCACAGTCTTTCCAGGGGCACCAGCGGCTTAGCAGGGGCACCAGTCATCACATGACTAACCAAAAATAAAGCAAAAAAACTGAAAATAGGGCACCACCAAAATTAAGTGGGCGAAATCCGTTGAGGTTTTAATTTTGGGCATAGGTACTAGGTAGGGGCACCACTTCGATTCATGAACCTCCCCTTTCCCGAATTTCCCGAGTTTTCCCGAATCCGCCCCTGGTACTAATACATCAAATTTAAGGGGGGGGCACCTTGCTATTGGTGCCCCCCTTGCAGAATCCAAGGGGGGGCACGGTGCCCCGGTGCCCCCCCCCGTTCCGCCGCCTATGCGGCATCCCTGTTGTCCTCCCACACCAGCACACAAAGCATACCATCATGTCTCTATCCTGCCAGCTAGCCCCACGATGACCAGCGCTCTGCCACAGAGTAAAGCACTACCTATCGGGGGCGAAACTGGCGGCTCTCCCGTGCGAGTCGGCCAACAGAGCGCAGCGAATCTCGAATTGGCCGCGATCCCAGTGTGATTACATGGAATCCGGAATTGGATAGCGCAGAAGATCGATTTGAGATGAGAAAGAGGGCGTAATTGTCCTGAAAGTGCGCGCCATTAGCATGGATTTACATCAAACTCCTACACAGTACACTGTTTTGGACGGTTTTCGTGGGTAGATTTACGATCAAATAATGGCAGTAGGCATGGCACATGTGTCTTCTATGCGCCATGTTCAGCCGCGGACGAGTTAGGAACGCGGGCGTCTTTGTCACTCCGCGTTTTTACCGTGTTTCATGGTGGGTGACTTTCCCCTGATTTACGTCTGCTGGTCGGTCGGCGACGCCCGAGTGAGACCCGCGACTTTCCCAGCCCTTACGTCACGGGTGCTGAGGAAAACGGAGCGCTGCCGGCGCCTCGTCACCCGCTTCCCGGCCCGGGGCTGCCGCCGCTGATGCTCTGTGCCTGTGCTTCACAGCCGGACGGTGGTCGCTGAGTGACGCTGAACGCTGGTAAGCCCTCAGGTCGAGTCACGCGCGCTGTCTCTGTGTCCGCAGATGGCAGCTTCGTGCGCAGAGTTGCCGCTTGACGCTGCCCTTGGTTTGCCGTCTGCGTCGTATTACGCGGCATGTGCCTGCCTACTCACACCTGCGTTTTTCACCTGCGTTATATATTTCACGCTTTATCACTCACGCTAGGTGTCCGCATTGCGCTTTAGTTGTGCAGTTGGCACGTGAAGGATGCAATGTAATATCGTTTTCATTCGTTCACTTCACTCTTTTGGTCGGCGTTGAGCTGTTCGTGCCGACCGGAAGTATGTCACAAAGTTGTCGACTTCCGTTCCAAAAAGACCGACTGTGCTGACTTCATAGGCTGCATGATGACTGATGATGTCCTACCGTTCTGTCCCGCCCGAGCGGTGTCATTGTCGCTTATTGCATCCTGCAGCAGCGGTCGCCGTCCAACGAGCCTGCAGAACCCTGGCACTTTAATTCAGTATCACCATCCCCAGGCCTCACAATTTCGCTTTCGCGTATCTCTGTTGCATCGCACAGCAGCCTAAGTGGTGTGTTTTCATGTTTGTCCTTCGCCGTGCAAGCTGGGTGGGCGCAAGATTCATGGGTGGGCGGTCACCTCGCCACGTGGCCACGTGGCTGTTCTGCTACTCACGGATGTTTGTCACAGAGCTCGAGACTTACCCGGCGGCATGCGTCAGCGTCTGTTCCGAAATTCACCCGAACAAGGTGGAATTCATTCATCACATTGACTGACATTGCATTAAACTGAATTGAGTGAGCCGACCCATCCAGTATGGCCCGGGTGCCATTAGTCATTAGATGTCCGACCGCCGTAGTGGCCAGCACCTGAGGCTGCACAGTTGCCCCTCCCCTGTCGAAAACCTGCCTGCTCGCATGTCGCCCGAGCACTGATCGTCACCGTGACATGTCAATGAGATCACCGTGATGTTTTCCAAATCTTTTCCAGTATCGATCTCATAAATAACAGGCCTTTGACATGCGGCCGCGGTCCATTTAGGATCGGGGCGGCGATTTATCGGAGGTAAATCGAGCGCACGGCGCATGAAGTGGTCGCTGTTGCGTGTCGACGGCGATAATCGCGCTGTGTGACGACGTATCTTCGGTATTGGTCACCGTGTGATTCCCGGCTGCGATATCAGTGGCCGGACTAATAGGCTCAGCGGTAAATGATATTTGCCAGGCGGTGTGTTTTTGGTAGATGGGCGGATATGATTGCCGTTTGCGTGCGCTCGACTGCGCCGCTGTCGGAACAAAGCCTGGCGGACAGCCGCGGAGGAGGCCACTGTGGTCGAGGAATGCCTCGCCGCGCACCTGTCCCGAGCACTGAACTCGCTGAGTTCCACTGATGGGATCAAGCGTGCTCAATGGCGTTAGCAGCGCAAAGCCTATGTTTTTATTCTGTTCTCGTGACGATCCGCGGTACCTTCATTGTTAGACGGATCAGGGAACGACGGGATCCGGAGCCAGACCTGTGCGCATTCATTCCGGCAGGTCCCGGAGGTTCCTCATGTTATCCACTGCGTCTGCTAGTGCGACCGAGTCATCCTGCAGTCTGCACGCAATCTACGCAACTTCTCATTAATTTGTCGTCGTTAGCCACTAGACACTTAGTGTCGCAGTCCAGGGAATTTTGCAGGAAACCACATACGTCATACTGTGGTAACGGCATACCGTGGTAATTCAGTCTTGCTAATGGGATAGACCCAACTATTTTTTTCCTGACCCTATTAGGCCAACCTCAGACTGACCCTTCAGTAACCCATCTCATCAAACGCAGCGCCCTCCTGCTCGGGTCACTCCCGCCCGAACCTGCCCCAAACATTCCAGGTGCTAACGGGTTGGCACCCGCCTCAACACCTGGTGTGGGAGGAAGGGGAGGGGAGGGGGTGTTTACATAACGGTGGGGACGGGCACACGCCGAGTGCGCCGCGCGAGCCACGCGCACGCCACCCGGAAGGCATGCATGCGTCCGCTGCCGACCGTGTTTTAGACATCGGTTTTAAACACCGGACCGTGTTTTGAACACCGGGCTGTGTTTTAACATCGCCGTGATCTCACCGGTTAGATGTGTGTTAATCTGACTCTCCATGGACGTCATTTCTTCCGACTATGCACAAGTCATTGTACGTTATCTCTTTGGGCTTGTCTCGGCATTTTTCTGCCTATACAAGCATAGCAAGCATTTGAGATATAAGTGAAGGAGGAATGACGAAGTCTCACGGCGTTTCCATATACGGAGTTCCTCAGGGCACTCTTACGATATATCAGAGTGGTTTGAAATGCACGTTATGCTGTGGTCGTAACGTTTCATAAAAATTCTAGATCATCGCCCGGCCATGCAATTCTCGAATCATATCTGCGTGCAATAGACGTGGCTTTCAGAAGTAGGTTTGCGTATTGCATACAGTTCCATACCTACTTTTTTGGAAAGGCATATGCCGGTAAGTATTATTACGATATAGAAAGTCGCCAGAAGCAAGGAAATGCCAACGCCAATAATTAAGGAGCATTGGCAAGTTCTCGGAATTTCTAAGCTCTTTCTCTGACGCCACCCGGTGCCAATGCTGACGGAGAGGGTTTGGCACGGTGCGGGCCTGTTGCCTGGCGACCACCCTTTCCGGTCAGCTGTGTGCCCAAGGACGCCCTCGCGCGCGACCGGGCGCGGGGCGTACCGCTGCGTCGGGCACCCGGCACGACGCCCCGGCAGCTCTGCCACCTGAGACATTGTGTCACAGCTCGGCGTACAATTGGGAGCGCGTGTGTCAGCTCGGCAGAGGATGTATCTAGGCCACCGATTCCCAGCTGTCGTGTCGAGTATAGGACAGGGACAGACCAGGGGGCGGTACCCCGGCGCCCCGGCTCGGACCCGCGCCAAACAGAAATAGCCGGGGCGACGGGCGACTGGGCGATAGTCGGCGCCGACGAACGACGGCCGGGTGTCGGGCCGAGCTGACCGCCGAGGTCGGGTCACACCGGGGGTCGCCGAGGGTCGCCGGTGTGCGCTGGTGTCGTGGTGGTGTGAGGTGTGCGGACGGCCGCACAAGACTGAGAGGCCCGTGAGAGGGCCGCGAGTCGTGCTCCGAGGCCGAACTCGACGTGGCCCGTGGTCTGAGTCATTCGGAGCCAGTCGGTCACGGTGGTACACCGGGCAAAGCGCCATTTGAATGAGAAAACCCTCCCTTTCTATCCGGTTTTCCCAGTCGACTGCCGGGACCTTGACCATCCCAGTTGTCTGCCGCGGTCGACGGGGAGGTCTTGCCGAGCCCAAATCCTGTTTGGCCTAGCAATCCGTCACCTCTCTAAGCCACACAATCTTGCATTTGAATGTTTTGATCATATCCCTTACCGTCTTTATCTTATTTTCAGCCTGATAAGGCTTTCCTCATCCTCATTCATAATTTCCTCTTTCCCAATCACTTTAATTTATTCTTGCTTTTCTTAGCTCTTTGTCTCTTCTTTCCTCCCTTCCAGCTCCTGTCTCTCCCATCTCTCTCCCCCCCCTGCACCTTTGCTGATCCACCGCTGCACCCCTGCACCATTCACCCTCCCACCATGTGGCTGTGTCTGGGGGTATGGGTGGCCGCCGTCTCGTGTCGTGCGCTCCTCGATTGGCCGACGGGGGCTCTGCTCTGCGTACTGCTGGCTGCAGCCGTGCTGCTCCTCCGTCGTAAGGTGAGAGGTCACCCGGGGCCAGAGGTCAGAGAGCAGACGGGTCAGAGGTCACACAGCCGGGAGATGGGTGAAAGTCCGCTACATATGCAAGACCCGGCCCTATTTTCCGCTGAGGTTTCTTTTGTGTGAATCAAAGGGTGAATGAAACGGAATTGAATCGTTTTCACTACTTCAGAAATAACTTCTTGGAGGTAAGCTATGGTATTTCTGAGCATGATTAATAATGTAAATAGAGTGAATAACCTTATGCTCATGTTATATGTTGCAAATTGATATAATTAAAACTAAATTGATATATTTCGATATTGCACCGTCATCAGAATAAGAATTCAGAATCATCAGAATCATTCTTATTCTGATGACGGTGCAATATCGAAATATATCAATTTAGTTTTAATTATATCAATTTGCAACATATAACATGAGCATAAGGTTATTCACTCTATTTACTTCAGAAATAAATTGCTTTGTCCGTTCTCCTGAAATGTATCTTTCGATCAGCTCTCTCCGCATTTCTCCGTTTCGTTTGGCCTTCTGTCGCATTCCGACGCCATGGCTCAGTAGTGTGTACCTATTATGGGAGCGGGAGCGCTGTTTACCTAGGCTGGAGAGGCGCTGCTACGGTGACGGACGATTCGTTTCCTTCGGCGGGGATAACAAATCAAACTGAACGGACGTCACCGACCAAAACGGAATCAGGCGCTGAAGGATTGATTGGCTGGGTCGCATCAGGATGTGACCAGCACCTGAAGTGTGACCGACGGCTTGGGAATGCTTTTGTATCGCGAAGGGATGGACTCAGACATCGGAGGCGGCAAAACTGTTCGTTGACGAGTCGCGATGTAGCAAAATCAGAGTATAAAGAAAGGCCGGGATAGCGTGATAGCGAGAGAGGCGTCATTTAACAGAGGGGATGCGAGAGCTACCGGTGACAAAGGTGAGGTGAATCTTTTACAGATTTTGCTTGGCGGATATCCACGGAAAAGGATTATAACTGAGTGTCTTTTGGACATTGCACGCAGGCTGATACCTCATCATGGCTGCTTGGACTGTATATATGGTCCGGTGGGGCAATGCTGAGCTGATGGGATTAGACGGTAGCCTTGATTTGTTAAGTATGCCTTTCAAGGTAAAGGCACACCGCTAAATTGTTCCTTGACTTAAGCCTCGAATTTCTTATTTGTAATGATACCTTTTCGAGGAAAAAGTGGCAATGCCGTTCAGTCAGCCCATAGATGGAAATCATCGGATCTCACGTAATATCCTGGTGATCACGCCACATGCAAAGTGGGCGGATTGGATACAACTGGTTCGGCCGGCCTGAGCAAGGTCGACCATCCCGCTCCTGGTAATTACTCCCCCCTGAAATACACCCGACTCGCCAACTGGCCGACCAGTCGGGCCGTCTGCAAGGTCGCTGATGACGCTACCACTGGTCGGCCTTGGTTCCGCCCCCTCTGATTTGGAGGGCACCCCTTTGACGAGGTGCACGGAGGACAACTGGACCTCTGCAATCGCCATTATGTTGTCCCCCTCTCTGTCAGGTGTCCGTCTCGGAGTCCAGACGCACGTCTCCTGTAACTGTGTATCTCGGTGACTGACGTGAGCGATCCTCCTGTGCACGCTGTGGCTGGAAGCGGCCAAACAGCAGCACTGATAGCGTCTGTCCCGCCTTCATCATAGTCTCTGGCGGCCCTGGCGCGGCATATCGAGATTTGCGCCTTGTCTGGAACCGGCGCTTCGCAACGTTCGAGGGTGCTGCGGCTCTTTGTGGGTTTGCTGCTGGTCTTATGCGAGCTCGTCTGTGTTGAGCTGGGCGTGCAATCCGCTCATCACAGCCGTCCACGCCCTGATACTTAATCATCGGATGACAGACGCAGACAGAAGCTCTCTTATTAATGAATCCTGCAGTCATTGCTCGGGCTCTCAGTGACACACGCGCGCGAGAGACAGACAAACGGATAGACAGACAGAGAGACAGACGGACAGACAGACAGACAGACAGACAGACAGACAGACAGACAGACAGACAGACAGACAGACAGACAGACAGACAGACTAGACAGACATCTGGCAACCCGCCACCCCTTCATACAGACTGTCTCTGTGGCGACGTGCCCGGGTCCAGTGTTGATGGGGATAGCTGCCGTATTCGGTAGCCCGCTGATGCATCTTCCATGTTATTCTTTGAGCGGTTCACGTCATGCCTTTGGCGCGCAGAGGCTGCCGTAATCAGGGAATGGTATACTCATGTGAACGTGGTGTTAGTGTCATCAGAACCAACCTTACGGCCGTATTGCTGATGTCATGTGAACGCTGTAAATATAATTAGTGAAGCGTCGCATGGATCATCTTTCGGTCTTCTTCATTCGGTGATGTGTAGGTACACTTACTTATGTCCTATCGGACTAATTAATCCCTCTTTGCACGGATCATGTGTCGATACAACGCATGTCAGGTGCAGCTTTTCGACATATAACGGTTTCCGCAGTAGTACAACTTCCTCTGTCCGGCCTGGCCTGTTTTTGTCTGTCGTTTAGTGCTGGTCCGTCGTGCACCGTTAGTCCACTGCAGCGGCCGGCGTCTCCCCTCGTCCTATTCTGCTGGTCACCCCACCACACCCCTTATATCGGGGCCGAACGGGCCCTTCGTCATACACTTCCCTTGTTTTCCTTGATTGCTTGCAAGCAGCCTTGCTCCAATTTTGCTCCTTCCGTAAAATGAACACGTCAATTCCATCCCATCACTCAATATCTTTTCCCTATCTTGATAGGACAACTTTTGTTGGTCATCCCTTCATTTCATTGACGTTGCTTTATTTTTTTATTCGTCCATATGTGTCAAGCTGCTTCACATCGCATTTGGCTTTGTTTTGTTTATCAACGTGCTACTCTCTCTTCGATCACATTCTGCTCATATCGGATATCTATCCATATCCCCAACTATATCACTCCCATCCACTTTACCTTCCTCATCCATTAGGCTCATCTCTCGCCGGCCACCCGCTCCTCCCGGGCGGCAGAACGTCACGACACCAGCCAGGTCGTGAGGCCAGTTCATCGTCCCTCCGCCGGCCATCCCCGATGTGTCTCGGTCGTGATAGTCCGCCCGCGCCTCTTCCGCCGCCTGCTGCGTGACCGGAGGCGGAGGCGGAGGCGGAGGCGGAGGCGGAGGCGGAGGCGGAGGCGGAGTCCGCGCGGCGTCTGAGATGGCACCGTTTCGTGGCGGGCCGTGACATGCGTTCGTGTATCTGCAGTGGGATGTGGAGAGAATCGTGTGGCTACTTTGGCTACTTTGTGGCTACTTTGGAGCTCAGGCTGGTGTCAATGCCATGTCGTAGTAACAACATGGTTGGGGATGTGATCATGTGTTGTACCTAATACCTATTGCATTCATAACGGTTCGCTGGGCGACATCCTGGCCCTAATACCCCCCTTTCTGCGAGTGTTTTTAGAGCCAGTGTATCATACATTTGTCTCTCTGAAGGTGTGTGCGGCTGTGCGTCTCAGCATCTTTGTGCGTTTCTGACCACGTCCTCCCTTTGTTGCAGAGCGCGCCACCGGCGGAGGAGGCTGCTCCGGGCTCGCAGGGGACTGCGGGGACCGAGCAGCCGCCGCCGGGATCCCTTTGGTGTCCGCTGGGTCCTCTCGGGACCCTGGGCTCCGACCTGAGCGCCCGGCTGGCCGGAGGGCTGGCCAAGCTCGACCTGACCGCGCTCGGACGGCCCAAGATGCCGCTCAAAGGAGTGCGGGCCCAGCTGGGCTGGTGCCGGTGTCTCAAGGTAAGGAGGATGCGATGATAGTGCTAGACTGCCGCGGGGAAATGCAGTAAGTGGGGAAGGTTGGGGTGTCTTTCAGCGTGCATACTCATAGGATCACATTGGCTAATGGAGGCCGGCTGGGAGAGTCGGAGTCGTGAAGACCTGTAAGGTAAGAGTATGTGGACGCCCAGGGCTATGTTGGGTCGCGGGCGTGAAGAGCAGTGGAGAGGTGGTGGGGCTACTAAGGGCTATGAACGTATAGAGAGCTGTGGGACCTGTAGCGGCTAGTTGCCTCGGTAGCTGCCCGCGGTCTCAGACGTCCGTGGGCGGCCGGGGGCGTACAGTCTGTCTTAAAAGTACCGCGCAAAGTGACGGTGGATCCATCAAGCCTGACCGAGGAAGGGCCTGCTATAATTTGAAAGTCACCGAACCAATGGAGCTGGGGAATGGACGAGGATGTCCATTGCTTCGGTGACTCAAATTTGGCAGTCCTTCATCGGTCAGGCTTGATGGATCCACCGTCACTTTGCGCGGTACTTTTAAGACAGACTGTACAGCGGGTCTGTCAGCAGCCTCTCCGGGCGGGATCCCAGCTGGAGACTCGCCGTATACTCTGTCCGAGTGGGATCGGGGAACAGATGCAGCGATGTTAGTGCACCACTCAGCGAGCTCAGCCACACCCAGCAACGAACAGGAGATACAATCAGACATTCGGACTAATTGCCAGTGGCCGCTGACGTAAGCAACATCAACAGGAATGGGTTTGGTAACGAGTCTCGTGACCTTCGCTAAGAGCTGCTCTGGCGTAGTCTGAGCTGTCAGAGATGTCCCAAGAACACGAGCTGTTATATGCTGAGCTCGAGGTCAAGAGGGTCTTGGGGCGGACCACCTGTTTGATGACGTGGAGGCGGGATGGGCCACCGCCGCCGGCTGGCGTGGGAGGGAGTAATTCGGCGTAATTACACCCGCACGGCCTAAGGCCCTCCTGTGGCTGCTGTGGTTACGTAGAGAGGCAGTTCTTTTGTCACTGCTGATACCGGGCGTTTTGAAGGCTAGGGTAGGGTGCTATGTTGATTTTAAGGGTGCATGTAATACCTATGCAGTGCTGTGGGCCAGTATAAAGTGTGATTTGATTTCATTATTATTATTCATTTCATTCATTTCATTATTTCATTCATTTGATTTCATTTCAATTTCATTATCAATTGAAAAATGAATCAGATTAGATATTGGTTCTACGTCCTACTAAGATTTAGAATCATTGAAGATTTCATTACAGCAACAGATAACAAACCATTCTTATTCTGAAAGACACTGCCAATTCAAGTCAAGTCATGTTTTCTGACGTTATTAAATTAGTTGAGACTGGTGAGACAACTGTTGTGCCTGCATTCTGTCCGGCATATTCTCTGGCAGTTGGCAGCCCATGCTCCCTGAACAGTGAACTTTGGCAGCCAGAGCAGGAGAGAACTGGGAAGGAATTTTACACCCTGGCCACGAGCCGATGTATACGATGTGTGTCTCTGTGCTATGTTGAGCCGAAAACAAAAACAGAGAGGCATGTGCTTCCTTTGGCTGATCGAAGTTGACCTGCCATCCGGTATTGAAATTGAGGGTCGATGGACCAACCAATGATGCTTGCTTTTGCTATGAATGATATGCAACTCATTATCAGGCTGCAAAAGAAAACAATATTTGTAACAGTTTAACTTCTACTACCCATAAATATTGCTAAGTTGAAATATATCAATACAATTTACATCATATAACAGGATTCACACATATTTACGGAGGAGGATACCGCAAAATCGTTCACATCAGTGCTATGTCAATTGTCGACTGATCTTTGCCGTTATCATCGTCACGCATGACTGGCCGTGTTGTATCGATTTACGCGAAGGAAATATGTCAGAATCTGAATAATGCTAATGGCGTAACGGCGCATCGTCCAACTGTTCGCACTCCGTCTCACCAGCCTCAGGATTGGTAACGGTTGCGCGAATCTCGAGTCGCAACTGTTTAGGAACTAGGAAGAGACACCAGTTCCATTCTGTTCAGACGCGCACCGCTTCGTAATCGCGAACAATGTTTCGATCACGCCGTCTGAAAGGGCGTTTTGCATAAAACCCATCCCGCTGTACTTCTGTATTCCTTAACCAAGAAGGTTACCGCCTTGCGATATGGATCAGGAATCAGGAATAGCGTTAAAATGCACGTTTCAAGTACCCCTAAATTTACTTGGAACATCACCCTAAGCTGCCAGAACGTGTCGTTATATCAACCAGTTCAAACAATAAACATAAAAAATCGCAGCCTCGCAAACAGGAATTTCCATAGCCTTGCAGTCATTATGTCATCGCAGAGCCCTTTTAATTCACACATTTCCTTCTTCCGCCATCAAATGGGCTCCGGAAACGTTCTATAAACTGTCGCAAAAACGCCGAGCTGTTGTCTGCGCGTCTCTACTGCCATTCGTTCCGTGACGGGATGGCGATGTGGCGCCGGTTCGCCGATCGCTCATGGTGTGCCACAAGGCTGCCGCCTGGGCCCGCCGCTTTCTGTCATCGCCCGCACCTCGCGCTGGCGGCCTTGGGGCGACCGACGGAGCCACTCGACACCGTGTCACCACAACACAGCTGAATGGCGCAACTCGGCCAGCTAATGAACCGAGGGCGACAGAGCGCGGACGGATGAGGCGTCATGTTCTCTTTTCAACTACCGAACGAAACACGTAGACCTTTATGAAATAAGTTTGAATATACTGTCCGCTTCGAACTGAAAAGAAAGTAGGTACGGGTCTATCTGGCTGAGAAAGAGGGAATTCAAAGGTGTGAATGCCTTAAAATCAACTAAATGCCGGTAATGAGCTAAAATGCATTATTTAAGAACAGTTACATTCTGTTTTATAGCTCTTGAAGAAAAATCTTTAAGAATCCCTTAGCCTAGGCTGCTTTTTACGGACTGAAATGCAGCTGCTCAACTTAAAAATGGTATGCTACCATCGCCACCCATGAAATAAACGGTTTATAAGGATCCCGATCGGCCCAAATGTGAGTCGGTCGGACACTGAACACTGTCTGTCTGTGTGTCTGTCTGTCTGGTGTGTGTTGAACGGTCGGCGGTGGCGGCGGTGACCGCAGCTCGGCTCCATCTGCCGTCCTGCGGTGCCGAGGCCCCCGCACCGCTGCCACAGTCTCACGGACTAGTGCTGGGTGCCGGTCGGTGGCCTACGGATGCACCGAGTGGCACCGCTCCTGCCCGGACGGTGCGGGGTCTGTAAACTGCATCAGAGGGCTAAATTGAGAAGGGAACCTGCCAAAAAATGCATATTTGCCTACGCTTTACTTTGTTAGCCGGAGGGACATTTGGAGGCCATACTCATTCAACCATCCCTCTGGCATTACCATACAAATTCATTCATAGTTGCCGCCACCTGAGGCGACGTTCAATAGATATGTGCATTATGCTATGTGCGGCCTTGAGCGTCTGCCCGTCTGGGACAATGTCGTGACGAGCTTATGAAAATGTGCCGGAACTGCAGTCTCACAGTGCATCAATGGCCAGCCCGTCTCACAGCAGCATCCACAGGCCAACCCCACAGTTCAGCGACCGCGGACCATATACCTACAGACCAGCCGCCACAGACCCGCAACGGTCACTTGCGTACAGACTGCAGCGCGACGCAACTTTGTTCGTCATGCTTATTGGTCCTGTTAATCAACATCAATGATTGTCCTGGTATGTCTGTATGAATTTAAAGTTGCTGGTATGTTATAGCGACTGAAAGTCCGGACAAATTACTCACACCCAGCATCACGAAAGTCGGACCCCACATTCGACCATGTCATCTTTCCATGCACCTCTCGCCACCCACCAGAGCCCCGGCACCACAAGGCGACAGCTCTCATCTCTCCAAGGACATCGCTCTTCCATCAGGCCGCTCTCTCGCTTTCTGTGCGACACGAGCGAATGCCATGTGGGGACATCGGGCGACTCTCACCTGTCACTGTGCGCCCAGTGACTGACCTGACCTCTGACCCCGTGTGACCCGCAGAAGGACGAACCTCCAGAGATCACCTACTGTGTCAGCAAGACGGGTGACGCGCTGAACCTGCAGATGCTGACGCCGACTCAGCCCATGCCGAGAGCCGAGGAGGTGGAGGCCAAATTCCTGGAAGTCCTGGTAAGCTACGTCAAATATTAGGGATGGCGGAAGGGAAAAGATGGGTGGCCATGATGCTATGAATATGATGCATACATATATAATACTTCTCTGCACCTTTTATCATTACAACCTTTTGAATTTTAGCCATGCTAATAAAAAAGGCAATTAGGTATGCGTCAGATTTGCTTCTATTGACATTTATGCTTTTGTTTGGTTTGCATGATGGGCAGGGATAGTTCTAGGAACCAAGGAAAGATCCCGTGTCTTTTCTAAAAATCAAAGGCGGAAGCTAAATGGTGTGTACCAGGAACACTCCGTGATCCGGTAGGTACCCAGTTCTAAGCATCACACGTGCACTCATGGAATGAATCAGAATGGAGAAGCGTTCTACCGGCGGTGAAGCTTAAAAACGCTCGAGTCTTGCGGTACTTCTATCGGATAAGCAGCAGTGCAAAGTGATTGTGAGTCTCCCTAGGAGAAGGATGTGGTCGGCATTCGACCGGCAAATCGGGTAATCATCTGCATATAAACTTCTTGGTCTCAACTCTTGGAACGTTTTCTCTTGGAACTGATAACCAGAAGAGAAGTTGCGAACGGACGTGCCAGAGGTTTGTCGAGCCTTCTGACTTGCTGTGCCTTTTATGTATTTTTACTTTTATAAATCCCAGAGCTATTCCTAATTCAGCGTATAATAACATATAATTACAAACTAGAAGACGTCCCCGCTGTGGTAGCTCCCCTTACTGTGAGAAGCTACGTCAATGACACTGTACGCTGTGTATGTAGCTCTCCATCTCGCCGAGCCATCCCTCACGGCGAACCACTGCCGGTACGTAGCACTCCTCCGAACAAACGCCACCACCGGAACCGAGTCCGTGACGAGCGGCCGTCTCGTCGTGGCGATTACACAGCGATACATCACTGCACACCTCCTCTGGGGGTCACGCGTCGCCTCCTCCGCCCCGCCGCCGCCGAGCACTGAACAGCAGTGCTGGAACAGCCGCGTAAATACCGTTTGTTCAGTGGCGGTACGCGGACGTTGTCGCGGAGAAGGCCGCGGAGGTAGCGTAGCCCGGTTAATGATGGTGCTACCGACTGCCGATGCGGTCTGCTGGTGTCGACTGCAGTCTGGACCCTTCGTGACGACCTCTGTTGGACTGCCGTGACGACCTCTGACTGTCGAGACGAAGCGTGACGCCCCGTTACGATCTGTCGTGATGCGCCGCAGCATGTCAGACGACCGTCACCAGTTCATCACGGAGACGCACCACGGGCGTGACAGAGTCACGAACTGGTGACACGACTTTGACGCGTCACGGTGGCTGTGCGTGACGTTATCCGCGACCTCCGCGACCTCTCAGTCAACCTTCGTCACACCTGATGACCTGATCAGCGTCTTGAACTTAGTCTGAACCATTGAATCTCATAGGTTCTGGAACTGTGGGAAATGTATTTGACGATTCCCAGGATCCTCTCAGCGTCTCGGCGTGGTTTATGGCGAGCGGTCTCGTTTTGACGCGGGCCGGCGAAGGTCGAGGCGGAGGCGGATAATGACAGAGGAGACACCGCAGACGACTCGTCCTGCTCTCTTGGAGAGAGGAAGAGAAAGAGGGAGGAGAGAGACTGTCACGAGCGTTCATTATAATTTTGTGGCGCGGACGGCCGAGCGGCCGTGTCGCCTCGTTCGGTCCGTCTGGGCGGCTCGGTCCTATCTGGTCCGGTCCGGGAGAAAGGCCGTCGCGAGCGAGCAGGCCGCGCCCGGCCCGCCGGCCGCCTCTCGGCGCGTGCCGGGAAAGCAGCACCACTGTCACGACAGTCACTCACGGCTCGCTCGTGACTCGATACCGACCCGCAGCGCGAACTGCACGGCGGCGGCCGGTGTCGGCCGGTGAATTACAGCTGGCACGGGAGGCTAGTGCCGGGAACTAAGCCTCCCCGGCTCGTGCCACTGTCCCGTTAGAGCTTCAGGATCTTCGTAAGCCAGATTTTCTGCCAAAACCCGAGCCACTCCATACCATGATAGAAGCCGGTCCGGCCGTGATTCTCAGCCTGTCACGGACCGGCCTTGGGCTGCTCTCGTGCCTCGTGCCTGGTATGACACACGAGGCCGGCCGAATGTCCACCATCTGCCGCGACATTCCTTCATGTCCGGCAGTGCGACACGACTGACTTGCGTGTCACCGGGTCACTGGTGACGTCATCGACAGGTGAAGTGTGCGCCCTTCCGCCTGTCCGCTGCCTGTTCGTCAACCGGCGGCATATAGTAAAGGGTGCGTGACCTGCCGAACGATTTAGTGATCTATTGAGGGCATTCCGTTCAGTTCGGGACAATTCCGTGCACTGTGACTTGTGTGCCCGGTACTATGGGTTGTCACCATTCCTGGGACTGCATTCTCTGTTCACACTGAACCCCAGTGAATGGATTGGCTGCGAGGGAATGTCAGGGGATTCCTGCGTGCTGCACAGTGGAGCTACCAACGCTTGCCAATTCGGGAAGTTCGTTATAGTCGCCTTTGTATCGATTTGAGCAATAAAAATACAACGAACAAGAAAGGAGGAATCAGAAGGGAAAGTTAAATAGGGTGAGAGAGAAAAAGAAGAGAGAGAGAGAGAGAGAGAGAGAGAGAGAGGGGGAGGGAGGGAGGGAGGGAGGGAGGGAGGGAGGGAAGAAAGGAGAGAGGTTAATATTGATGAACACGTGTATGTGGACTGAGACTATACTGCCGTGACTAAATAAGAACCTTTCTATTCCGTCTATGGCCCGTAAACCGGCCTGTGACTCAGTGCCGTGCCGAATCCGTCCGCATTCCATGCACGGCACAGTCGCCTCCCCCCTCCTGACCCCTTCACTCTACCTTCGGGGGTACCGATGGGGTATGGTCACCTGGACCAGGCACGTGCTACTGCGCAGAGCCGGATGGTACGGGGCATGGTACAGAATCTGAATGCTCGGCGTTCGATACGGAGGAGTCAGCTGATGCCACACTCGTGATAGGCCTTCCATCGGAGGAGTACCTACTGTTGCAATACACAAGGCCCTAAATGCAATACATACCATATCAATTTACGTGGTTTCAAAGCAGGTCAGATGGAATAGACTGCTTTGCTATTGGCACACTAATGTGCATGCTGTCCTGTCCTGCTAAATGATTTTTATTGATAAAACAATTTTTTAAATACACGGAGAAGAACCCTCAACCGATAAAAAAGCGACCATTATGCAAAATAAATATGCAATGATGGACGAGCGTTAGCCGTGAGCAGAATACTGCCTCCCTGAATTGATGGACAATTCATAACCGCCATATATCAATGTTGAAACAGTGTTATCATTCTGCTCACCGATGATGTTCTGTCTTCTTACAGGAGGAGCTTGATCTCACCGCGGCGAACCGGTCAGCAATGCTGGAACTGCCGCTCGAGAAAAAGTGGCAGCTCTACTGCAGCCGAAAGAAAAAGGTACGTGCATCACCACCGCAAAAGAAAAAAGCCAGTTGAACCAAACAAACATCTGTGTGTCAGGTGGCGCCTGGATCCGCAGACTCGACCTTGGACTGTCAGAGCGGGAGAATAGTTGGCCAATGCTGCGGTGTCATGATGCGATAGCTGTCAACACTTTCGGGGAATATCGTCACGGATACAGCAGTGTATCGAGTGTCCCTGAAGCACAATCCGGGGGGGGGGGGCTCGCCGTGAAGCCTCGCGAGGGAACGTCTCGGTAACGGAGAGGTATTGTGCTGGTTACCGGCCGGGCGGGTGGCGCCCCTCGGGGTGTTGTCACTGGCCTTGGCACTGCCAATAATCCATGTGATGTCCCTGAGAGAAGGGGTTATTCCGACCATACTTCTTGGTGGACGTGACCAGGTTATAGGGGGCTCATGCTCCTTGAACGCCACCAGCTGGAAGTTTGACAAAGTGAGGTCGGCGTAGATGTAGCTCAGCGTACGCTGGCTACGTCATGTTTATGATATTCGATGGCCGTGTGTAAGTCTTACCAAATGTCTTTCACCACCTTACGATTTTTGTTTCGTTTTTCGTGTCATCTCAGTGGAAAACGTCATGAGGACTTTCACCTGTCGTTTTTAATTACCTTCTGCCACTGCGTCGCGGTGACCGTGTCTGATTTCATTCTATCTCGGTTCGGTGATGATGCGCTATCGGTTGTCACCCGACTCTCGGTATAGAAATGAAGGGACAGTGGACAGCTCTGGAGAAAACCTGCCGCCACGATACCGAGAATTGAAAGGTCTGGAATTGGGAGAGCGACATTCAGATGCGTTTAACTTGCTGGGCTATGCTGAAGATCGCTCCAAAGGTTATTTGGAAGAGACGAATCAGGAGCCTTTCATATGAAGGCGACCGACTAATACAAACTACTCCGTCAGGACAGAGCTGGACGATACATTTTATGGATAAATGACTGTCCACTGAACGGTGACAGTATCATAAAGGACAGTGGACGTCACTGTAAAAATCGACGGAATGCCCTGCGGCCCGGAACTCGTACTATTAAAAGCACACTCCTCCGGTGCCTGACACGAGCTTTAGCGAGTCAAGGTCAAATGTCGCGACCGTGGGATAACCTGTCCTCACTCTCGAATGGCCATGCTAATGTGGTGTCCCAGGTGCTCACCAATACGCTTCATTGACCGTGAGTCGTCCGACAATTTAGTGGCGTTGTCTCTGTGAGTGGTTTGAGGCGTGGAGAGCAGTGTTCCAGTCCGTCGGGGGTGGGAGCGACCGCAACGACTTCCCGCGACGGCTTTGGAGTCTATTCGGAGGCCAGCGACATCGGTCCGATACCCCAGCGCGCCGGCTGCCGAGCGGTGTTTTTGTTTGTCTCATCGCTTAGCGGCCCTGTCACGGGAAACGTTTGGGCTCGGGTGACTACTGAACTGGCATTGCCGCGTCACGGCCTGTGGAAAATCACTCAAGAGTAGCGCTTGTGCACAGGTCTGAATGGCGATAATTATCGATAAAGCAGTGCTAACTACCGTCTTTTTTCGGATTGTCTAAGCTGACCGCGTCAATCGACAGCTTCTTGTCGTAAGTCATTGTTACCACAATGGCAATCAATTCCATTCAGCTTACTTGTCTAGTTCACTTTTGCGCAGGTATCCCGTTAACTAGCAACATGCTGAGATTTTCCCGAACAAACAGTACGAGATACAAAGATGACTTTTTGTGGAGAGGCTGCCTAGTAGCGGACGTTCGCATTAACCACCTGTCCAAATGGGGCATTGTTCCTTCTGGGCTCCAACAAGCGTAACATCGATCATTCACCTTTCCCATTACAGCTTTACTATCTCTCCAGTTCCGTACTAAAAACAGTATCACCCGCTCAAGTTGCGACGATAATGTCTGGTGTGGCGTAACTGTTGTCCAACGTTTTTAAGGATCTCGTACTTAATTAGCTCAACATATTTATAATATTAGCTAGGGATGCTTTTCAGCATTCCTTTCAGGTCCATTTGCATGACTAATTTTTGCTACTTATAAATAAGCTCACTAATGAGTGTGAAACCAGGATTTCATTTTATATCTCATGTGAGTGAATGTTACGGATTGTGTTAGGTTTCACTATTGACACCCTAATGTAAGGAGCGCACGGTCGCAAAGGCAATCCCTTTTACAAAGAGTGTTGAGAAGGCAATAAACACACTGTCAGCGTAACAACCAATTTGTCCTACATCGATTCTTAGTCTTATTGTCCTACAGTATCACAGGCCACGGAGGCGCTACTGCAGTAGGTAGGCTGTACCGCACAACACAGGTGATCCGATATTTTTGTCCATAGATGGCGCTACCAGTGAGCGCCGTAAAGTATGCTGTGCCGCATGGCCTGCAGACTGCGGAAAGAATGCAGCGGCGTGGTCACCGGGCTTTGCGCCCTGCTAATGTTACTGGGTCAGTAATAGCTGTTTGTTTGGAAGGAAAAGTGAGAATCGAATGCGTCATTTGAACAATTATTACAATGGCGTTTGTTGTGTGTTACAGGATGACACGGACAATGGAAATGGCCACAGCTACCTGGCCCGGCTGCCCGACTACTACATCGACAAAATCACCTCCCTCACCGGGGTAAGTTTAGTGGGAGTATCACATCGACAAAATCTTCCTTCACCAAGGAGTCAATGGATGAATGAGCAAGAAGGTATTCCATGACAAAATCGCTTCGGGTGGGAGGTAAGTTTTGACACAAATTCACCACATGTCTTCGCACTTTATCTTGAAAATGCTTCCCCAATAGTCGGAACGTAAAAATCTCGATGAAGGCGCGGTGTATCAGATGGACGAGTTTGGCGTCTCTTCTAAAGTTAGGTATAGAAATATCAGAAAGTGGAAACAGGTATTCTATTTCCTAATGGTGGTTCATAGGAGAAATTGGAGGCCCGTTATCTTGCCATCTGGAAAGGGGACGTCTAAGGTGTCCCAAACCAGGAAATAGTCCAATCAGATTAACTCGCCGACTTTCGCTTTACCATCGTCGGGTGTCACATTCCTTTTCCAAATATCTTCCTGAAACATGATTGCGGTCCTTTTCGACCGAGGAGGGACTCTGTTGGTACTCCCAAGGCTTCCTCCGGGATCTTTGGCGGATCCGTTCCTCTGCTGCCGTCTGCAAGTGTCGTACAGCACCGCCAGTGCGGGTGTCCTCGGCGCGGCAGCTGCCGGCCTCCCTCCCTCCCCGGCTGTCTGTGGCCGCGGGCGGGGACGGATGCCTCCCTCGGCTCCCCAAAACGGGTTCCGCCGCCGCCGCCGCCGCCGCCGCCACCTCGACCGGTCCGCAGCGCTGAGATGGTCCGATTGGCCCGTCCGGAGCTGCCTCGTGGTCTGGTCCCCCGCCCCGTGGCCGCCGCTTCTCACCTGTGCGCTCCGCTGACACGTGCGTGACCTGGGGTCAGCCTAATGACCGGTCACAGACACGTGACCGGGGCTGATGAGGGCTAATGAGCGCTGCTGCAATCAGGTGGATCACGGAAGGAACGGTGACAGAGAGAGAGAGAGAGAGAGAGAGAGAGAGAGAGAGAGAGAGAGAGAGAGAGAGAGAGAGAGAGAGAGAGAGAGAGAGAGAGAGAGAGAGAGAGAGAGAGAGAGAGAGAGAGAGAGAGAGAGAGAGAGAGAGAGAGAGAGAGAGAGAGAGAGAGAGAGAGAGAGAGAGAGAGAGAGAGAGAGAGAGTGGTTATCGGTCAGGCGAGCCAGGCATTCCAATCGCACCTTAGGACCTTTCTCCCATGTCTCTCTCGCCACTGTTCCCTTGTCGACGACTGACCGTTTATGTGCTGATAGCACATAGTGACTATAGATCATAATACGGCAATGTTTTTCAAGGATACTAATGGGTCGAACCTTTTTCACAAACTTACGTTTAATTCAGAGAAATTGCCGCTGTCCATCTACCCTTTGGCCAAAAATTCGTAAACCTGTCTGTTGTTACGTCATAAGCGCACCACAAGGCGTGGGTGTTGTTAAGTGGGTCAGCAGAAATTCCGCGGCTGTTTGGTTAATTAGCGATAATCTGATCTAACCGACCGGCGCACGATGTGTACGCTAAACGCTTCATTATGCGAGGATCTCTCGCCAGACCGGTGGTGGAAAGTCACCGGTCGTAATTACGCGATTTACACCACTCCGATTATCGCCTCCGGAATCTGGCGGTGTCAACGCCGCTGGGTAGTTTCACCCGTGGCTCGCAATCGCCTCGACATGCGATTCCAACAACCCTTACGGAAAGAGCTGACGGGCTGATTCGCAGTGTCCAACACAGCCTACAAGGCGGTTTACAGTATTTCGGACGCCACTGATCTATATCAGAGACGCGAACGAGCACCGGACAGCGCCGTTTGCGACAAAGATGGCTATCCACTCTATGTTATCCGGGCTGAGGGTACCTCGGCGTCGTGAGTTCACGCCCGTTACTTGTTGACGATGCCGCTGTACGTCGCGACACACGGAATCACGGGACCCGTTCCCCGCTGAGCCCGTCTAACGCTTAGTGCTTTGTCGTGACGCATGAACCGGGGTGTGTGAGGTCTGAGTCTGAAGACATATGCTGGAACACATGATAATAAAGCGTTTCGAAATTGAATGTGTCAAAGGTACTGTTCACGGTTAAAACATATTTTTAGTGTAATGAATTCGTGTTAGCGTGCTGGAAATGAGTTTTGAGCTTTCTTGTTCGTGTGCTTTGAAGCTCTGCCAACATAGCACAAGCAGTTCACTGCCCATTGATGCTTATTGGTAATCCATATATGATCCTATTATGCTTCCCATCTGACGACTGCAGACTTCCCATCTGACGATGATGCTCCCGTTTCAGCTGTCCTTCCCTCACAAGAGTGAGGAGGAAGTCACCAAGCGGACCAAGCAGCTGGAGTCTCTGCGCACGGCGCTGCGCACGCAGCCCAACTCATTCGTCATCAAGTTCCTGGAGTTGGAGGGCCTGGAGGCATGTCAGAAGTTCCTCAACTCGATGGATCACAGCACAGCCGAGAGCAGCATTCACAGCAGCCTGATCGGCTGCGTCAAGGCGCTCATGAATAACACGGTATGACGGGGAATGGACCGGGATAGGGGATGCTCTGACAGCGCGAGAAGGAGAACGTGGCTCCTATACGGGGGGCGAGCGGCAATGTTGGGATCGGTGTTTTTATACGAGTTATGATAACATGCAGATATGTCGGATGATAAATTGGAGTTGATATGGCGGATAACAATTTTATAACCGATTATTCTTTTTTATTCAATGTGGCTAGTAGAAGTTTGTAGAAAGTTTAACGACGTTGTGTACGCAGAACAAATGCATTGATGCATCAAACGAAATCCAAAGTGACCTTCGCGGTAGCTTAGCTAAACGTTTTGCGCTTGCATAAGCAATCATATGGCGCCCATGACCGCTGTGTGATTCATCTCCATATTTTCGCCTATGCATGAAGACGACCCGTGAGGACACTCAGCCACGCTGGAGTACGTAATATAACCCGTTGCGCCACTTCTAACCCTCTCCTCCCCGTCCTCAGAACGGGCGTTCGCACGTGCTGGTGCACCCGGAGGGCCTGAATGTCATCTCCCAGAGCCTGTCGTGTGAGAACGTCAAGACCAAGGTATCGGTGCTGGAGATTCTGGGCGCCGTGTGTCTGGTTCCCGGAGGCCACCGGAAGGTCCTCGACTCGATGGCCTACTACCAGAAGTACGCCGGCGAGAGGACCCGGTTTCAGGTATGTCAAGGGCGTCTCTTGTGGGGACTGGGTTGGGCTGTTTGCAATGCAAATCCAGTCACCAAGCTTGTGAGTAGAGTGGAAGCGTTTGGTCATTGTTTGTATTAAATTTGCAGGCTAACTCTCGTGTTTATTTGCATGCAATAGGTGTGCCTTATCATGTAGGTATCTTCTTAGTGATGTCGTAAGTGCATTTGTCACTTCTGTTTTATTCATTCTATTACGTGTGTGGTTATCATCAAGTTAGTATGTTTATTTTAGGTATACATATGCGTTGTACATACATGCGATGCATAACAGCAACCCCAGCACTTATCGAGATATCGGGCAACGTGATATGACATCCCTGATACATCTCAAACGCTTGGTGTTAACATGTGACCTCCTCTTCAGCGCATCGTGAACGACCTGGACCGGTCGACGGGTACGTACGCCGACGACGTCAGTCTCAAGACGGCCATCATGTCCTTCGTCAACGCCGTGCTCAGCTACGGCGCCGGCAAGGAGAGCCTCGAGTTCAGACTCCACCTGCGATACGAGTTCCTGATGCTGGGCGTGCAGCCAGTCATCGATAAGCTGCGCAAACTCGAGAACGAAACGCTGGACAGGTGGGTCCGCAGGCGGAGAGGAAGGGAGGTTCTTTGAGCTCGATCGGTTCAGCCGGAATGTTTGGTCGTTAGGTGGCGCTGGAGAGAGCGGTACCAGAGTAGGCAGCGTGGTGGTAGAGCCTCAGTTCGGTGTCGTGGAACCAGATCAGTCAACTCGACAATCCCAACGAGTATAACTAGTCGTAAAATAAGGATATTTGATTAATTTTATAGATTGGTAAGGCGTAACGTTCGTGTAAACATTTAACGATGCATGCATGTTTCCAAGGGTGAACAATGAACATGGCTTGACGTGGGATCTCAATATAGGTAGATGCGAACGTCACCTAACTTGCTGCGCTTGTGCTCTCAGGCATCTGGACTTTTTCGAGCTCGTTCGTACGGACGACGAGCGGGAACTGGCCAAACGGTACGAGGAGATTCACGTGGACACCAAGTCGGCGTCAGCCATGTTCGAGCTCCTCAGGACCAAGCTGAACAACACAGCGGCCTATCCTCACCTGCTGTCTCTGCTACAACACTGCCTCCTGCTGCCTCGTGAGTCGTCACTAGCTGTTTTGTCCGATACTCCAACTTCTCTTACGACGATATACAGTTTGTTTTATCGGATGATGTTGAAATTTGCAACCAGTGTATCGGTATAAAGCTAAAAATATTCCGTAGCAACCGACAATGTAAAATTGATATCCACCTGTTTGACTGGAGGTTCGCCATTTTTGCTGTTTCGCAGTGGACTATGGGTCGTATCCTCAGCACTGGCTCCTGTTCGACCGCATCTGTCAGCAGCTGATCCTCCAATCAGAGAACGGAGAGGACTGCGACCTGCGGCCGACCGACATCAACGTCAACAACCTCGTACAGATGTGAGTAGCGTTTGCTAAAGAAGTTTCTATAGGAACATGCTAAGCAAACAGCAAGGTTTAATAGTGGACTCATGATGTCACTCGGAACAGCTCTGGTTAGCGTAACAACCGAGCCCACATATACACTCTCAAGCGTTCAATCTAAGAAAGAGGAAGATATGAAATGTGACCAGTTGATACCGTTTCTATGGCCAGTGAGATACTGACTGCAAAACCTCGACGGTTTCATGCATTTTAGGGAATATCTAGCCAGGCTGCGCGTTCTTCTGGCAAACTGACCCGTCACCGACCTTTGTGCCCTCAGGCTTGCCAAGGAGGAGGAGCTGAGAGGTGCGCTCACCAAGGCCGAGGACCTGGAGAAGGAGAACCTCGACCTGATGACTAAGCTCAGCGAAAAGGAGCAGGAGTGTGACATCAGGACTCAGGAGCGTGACGACCTCAGCACCAGTCTCAGTCGTCTCCAGGAGAAGTTTGAGACCGAGTCCATGGGTATGTCATAAGCATGTAGTGAAGCTCAACGTGTCGTACATATCGTAACAAATAGATTCATAAGCATTGCGATAAGTACTTCATAAAGTTTTTTTCTACATCTGTAGCCGGTACAATTTTAATCAGTGATTTTCAGCGTTATGCGAACCATACACAAACTAACTTATTTTGCTCATATTCAGAGTCCTGTGACGGTATTAACCCTAGAACGCCTAGGGGGGGGGGGGTTGTATCAACCCCCCCCCCTGAGGTTTTTTAGAAGTGCACGCTAAACGGCTTGTCGTAGCGGGCTGAAATTTTCAATACCTTCTGGGGCAACCTTTGCGCATCTTTTGCCGAAAAAAAATTGATCGGGTCATGTCAGGTCACGGAGTTATGACGTCATAAGAGGTACAGCCTCCGGCCGGATTTTCACAAACTGAGTGCCAACGCCCGAGGTTTCCTGCCGGTGGTACGGACATCGGTTGATGGATCGTGATGAAACTTCCCATGCATGTTGGGGCAAGTATTGGCTATCATATGGTATAAGAAATTTGACCGGGTCAGGTCAGGTCACGGAGCTATGACGTCACAAGAGGAACAGCGTCCGGTACTATTTTTGAAAAGCGCCCGAACCACTATTTTGCTAATTCTTGTCACCTCAATGGGAATATGCAGCAATATTAGCTTCTATAGGGAGCAAATGGACCTCCCAAATCCAAAAATACAATCAGATTTTAAAAATTTAAATTTTGAATTTTCGAATTTCTGCCGTCGACTGTGACCTTGCCGACTTCCGGCGCTCCCAACGCGCCATTTTTAGAGCTAGGGAAACGAAATACATACCAAACGATAGAGAATTGATCAAGGAACACGATAGTGAAGGTTTCAAGTCGATATCTCCCACCGTTTTGCCGCAATCGCCGCCGAAAGTTGAAAAAAGTCTATTTTCCCGAAAATTTGACCTTTGACCGGTCAAAAGTAGGTCAAATGTTGACCTAGGACCAAAAATATACCACCAATCGCGAGATCTCGTTGAGAGCAATCCGTTGGGTTTTTCCGCTAAGCTCTACGACCTTCCGTTTCGAAACGCCAGGGGGGGGGTCGTAACACCCCCCCCCCTGGTCGTTCGTTTTATGAGAAATGGCCTGGTCGTGCGAGGGTTAATATTGATGCTAGTTATTTGCGATATTTATTTAAGCCCATTAGTCTGTTGAAGTACTTTTTAGGTATCTAACCGCACCAATACCTTCCTGCGTCCCCAGGTCACCTACAGGCTATCCAGCGGCTTCAGGAGCTGCAGTACAGCTCGGGACGCAGTCTGAAGGAGGCCGCTATCACAGATGAGGCCAAGATCAGCACCCTACCATCACGCACCTCTGCCGGCGCCGGACCGCCGCCGCCGCCTCCGCCCCCGCCCCCGCCCCCGCCGCCCGGCGGAGTGCCGCCCCCACCACCACCCCTCCTCAACGGGCACGCTCCTCCGGTGAAGCAGAAGAAGGTGCCGAAGGCTGGCAACCCGCTCAAGAGCTTTAACTGGTCCAAGCTGCCGGCCCACCGTATTGGCGGAACGATCTGGAACGACCTAGACGAGGAGCGTCTGTACAGCTGCATTGACCTGGCGGACGTGGACAGGACATTCTCGGCCTATCAGCGGCAGAACGGCCTGGTGAGTGTCTGAGAGAGGGAGAAAGGGTGAAAGGAGCGAGGGAGGCCGATCGCTTGATGAGCCACCACAGGTGTACGTTTCACATAGAGAAGTCAGGTGATCGAGGTGACTTTTTTGAACCTCTATTTTCATAGAGGTTCAGGTGATCGAGGTATTTGGGGGACAGTTGGCAAATTTTGTGAATTTTGTAGGGGTCTTGCCAAAACAAAGTTTCCTACAGATAATTTATAGCATTCTAGTGGGCGAGTCACTTTTGGAATGAGAGGAAGAAGTCCAGATAGCCCAGCCAATGTTCGGTATTTCGACCACAGTGGGTCGTTTAGGCTAGATGGCGCTGTACTATTACCACCACATAGCTGCTGTTGCTTTCATGAGATGTATGCCTTTTCACACGCGGCATTTCAGGCCGATAATTCGGTGGACTTGTCGGCAAATGACAATGTAAGTGAAAAGTGAGCCACCAAGGCAAACTACATGTCGTTCTCACAGCGTATTTAGGAACCTGGGAGCCGCATGTTGGTGGTTCATGCATGCAGTCAAGGAAAGTGAATTTTATCTTTTTAGCATTGTATTTAAGGTTTGTCTCTTTATTACCCTGATAAGTGCCGCTATAATCCGTAATCCCGCAAGCTTTAGCAAGTTGGTCACTTTTTCTCGTTTTCAATGACGATCGCTCCTGAAAAAACGTCTATCTACCCTTTACTATCACGCGTCGTCTATGGGCCGACTTCTCGCTTTCTAAGCCGTCTCCGTCTGAGCTCCTGCTGACCTTCTGTTGACCTCCACATGACCTCGTTTCCCCGCAGCTGGACAGCTCGCTGGACGACCTGACGAATGCCGGCACGTTGACCCGCTCACGGAACAAGGTCATCAGCGTTGTGGATGCCCGGAGGGCGCAGAACTGTACCATACTGCTCTCAAAGCTGAAACTCTCCGACAAGGAGATCAAATCGTGAGTTTGCCTAGAGCCTCACCCGATGACTTGGTTGGGGATATGATGGGCTTGAAACCTTTCTATTTTGACGTGTTTTTTTTTTTTTTAAATCACGACGATGAAATCAGCTTGTGAGTAAACGGTTAACGGACTTCATCTGAGAGAATGACCCGTGAGATACACAGCTTCAAGAGTGCTTGAATTCTGGAAACGAGAGTAGGTAGAATATGTAAATTAATAGAACAGGGATCGAGCGTAGCGTCACTATTTTTTCTTTTCATTTTTGCGATACGCCTAACTTGGTGATGTGGTCTTCCTCCTGCCCCCAGGGCCCTTATGTCGATGGACACCAAGGATCAGCTGCCGCCGGACATGGTGGAGCAGCTCCTCAAGTTCACGCCGTCGGCCGAGGAGAAGGCCTTGCTGGAGGAGCACAGTGACGAGCTCAAGAGTCTCGCGCGCGCTGATCGCTTCCTCTACGAGATCTCGCAGTGAGTGGCAGCAAAGAGAGATATGCTTTGCTTTGTTGGATAGTCACCTTCTAATACTGTTTGAGTTTGAAGGAATTTATTCGCGCGAAACCAATGTATAGGGTGAGTGAACTGGAGATTGAGTGATAATCTGCCAGGCCCAGGGTTAGGTGAGACTTATCTAAATTTAGTTTTTGATCAGAATTAATTTCCGATCGTTACAAGTTGATAGAGTTTTAGCTAAAACATTTTTTTGAAACATCGTATCTGAAATTTCAGAATCACCCACTACGAGGCGCGACTGAAGTCGCTCTTCTACAAGAAGCGTTTTGCCGAGCGGCTGGCAGAGCTGCGGCCACGTATCGCGGCCGTGGTCGAAGCTTCGAAAGAGCTGCAGCGTAGCCGACGGCTCAAGAAGCTTCTGGAACTGGTGTTGGCGTTCGGAAACTACATGAACCGCGGCCAGCGTGGCAACGCGCAGGGCTTCCGACTGGAGAGTCTGCGCAGGATCGGCGACACCAAGTCGAGCACGAGGAAACACATCACGCTGCTGCACTACATCGTGGAGCTGCTGGAGACCAAGTTCCCCGACGTGCTGAGGCTTGGCGAGGACTTGGGAAGCGTTCGAGATGCTGCCAAAGTCAGGTGGGTTGCAGACGTTTTTGGCTGCGGGGCTGCTGCGTGCTTGCTTGTTCTGTTCCAGTGATATGTGTTGGGACTGGTGTAGCAGCCTTTGATATCTCTGGGCAATTTATTTTGAATACTCATGTCTATAATCGAGCATACACTATGCACTGCATTTTACCAACTGGCGAGTGCGCTATGGTCACATTTATGTAAGAAATGCTTGATAAATCGTCTGTGTAGCAGTAATCTATATCCCTTACCTCGGACCGGCACTGTTTGCGTTGCACCAATCCCTTACATTTCACCGCTTGTTGGACAGCATGTCGGAACTGCAGAAAGACATGGCGCTGATCCGGACCGGCCTGAAGGACATCCAGAAGGAGCTGGACTTCCAGCGCAGTCGTCCGGCCGACTCCAGTGACCTGTTCGTGCCGACGATGAAGGAGTTCGCCGCCAAGGCCACCTACAAGTGCCGCCAGCTGGAGGATGAGTTCTCAGATATGCGGGCCAGGGTAAGTGGGTTCACTAATTGGGCCTCTTCGGGAGATGAAGAAAGCTCACTATGATCAAACGAATGATGTCAGTTTAGATGTGTCCTTTACCCATGTTGCTCAGCATACAATTTCAACCACGTTGTGACTTATGAGCATCCCTAACGATGGCTGAACCGTCGTTACTCGTACAAGCATCATATGAAACAATGACGAACTGTTCGTTTTCAGTTTGAGAAGGTGGTGCAGTTCTTCGGTGAAGAGCCGAACACCACCAACCCTGACGAGTTCTTCGGCATCTTCGACGCCTTCCTCACCTCGTTTGCCGCGGCGACCGAGGACAACATCAACGTCCGAAAGAAGAGGGAGGAGGAAGAGAAGAGGCTCCGACATGAACAGGAGGTAGGCGTTGGGTGCCACCTGGGTGATTTCATGAAACCCTTCCCAAGGGACTCGTAGACGTTCCTTTATTTGCTGTAATCATCTTTTCGTTTTTATGTGTGTCACACTAAACCGTCGCTCGAGTTACGCTTGCTCTCAGTGCGCTGGGTCTTATCGTCTCCTGTAGCTAACGCTCCGTTTTTCTGTCGTTTGCAGCTGAAGCAGATGACGCTACAAAGGCGCGGTAACCGGGAGTCGCAGCTGCGGCGCGACGGCGACAGTGACGCCAAGCAGGACCAGAACCGCGAGTTCGACGACCTCATCTCGGCGCTGCGCACCGGTGAGGTGTTCTCAGAGAGCTTCCGCTGCGCTAAGCGCAAAAAGAAGAGCCCGCCCAGTCTGGCGCGCCGCGAGAGTCGCTACGAGGAGAGTCGCGAGCGCGCCATTCGCATTGTGTAGCGCGCGAAACCGGGCCGTGCGCGGCGTGCTCCGCTCTAGTCTGCTGGTGCTTCGTTTCTTTGTGTGGTTCGGGAGGCCGCCGCCAGGGGCGCTGCGGTGTCCGGCGGCTGTGTGTGACAGGGGTGGGGTTCGGGAGGGAGGGAGGGAGGCCGGATGGGGTGCGTTCTGCCGACCAGGGACTGGACCTGACTCTGGCGGGGACGGTGCAGCCGGAGCTGCCTGTGGCCATCGAACGCCCCTGACGGGGATGGCAGGGACGCGGGCCCTCTGGGGCCGGCCGATGATGAGGCCTGTGGATCGGATAACGCTGCCAGGTGCTGTAGCTGTTGTGATGTTCGTGATGTTCATTCATGCAACGAATACATATGCATGTGTATGTGTGCGGAGTGCATGTGCTTACGCGCATGCGCTCTCATTCAATAGAAGCTGATGCGTTGTTTTGCCTCGTCAGGAAGCTCATCTATCTTATTGGTATGCCCTTTTGTAATTTTATGTGACCTGTTTACATATTTCTAGTGTCGCTCTGAATACAAACCTCATAGGTTCATCGGCTTCTTTGGCTAACTGTCGTGAACTAGTGAAGTTGTGAGAACGATGCAACGATACAGTACAGCATTCGCGTACCGATATTCGGCAACCCCATGTCAATTGGAACGTTATATTTGTAGACAGATACATGCGCGGTGCCGACAATGTCGGCAGAATGTCGGCCCGACATTCTCCAACATCGGAGGAGTCCTGATTCAAAGCATGTTGGCGGCTGGCGCTTTCTTTGGTATAGTTTTATCTCACCATCGCATGAACGCACATACGCATGAAGACTCATTTTAGCCCAAGACAGATTGCGTCCAGGGCACTAAAGAGTCGAAGCATCAGATTGCGTCGAAGCATCAGTCTTGCCACCCCTGCGCTCCGTATGTGCCCGTGAACCTAGTGATGAGCGCATAGCCGACCTCTGGCTGGTCGGTGGGCACCATATGGCCGCTGTTGCGGACCAGCACCTCATACAGGTTGTCCACCTGGCGCACGTAGCCGGCGATCTCGCCCCGCTCGCGCCAGATGACACGCTCGGCGTCCCGGTACTGCTCGGCGCCGTGCCACTCCATCGAGGCCAGCCACCGCTGCGTCAGCGGGTACGGCACACAAATGTCCAGCTGGCCGCTGTAGATGAGCACTCGATAGCCGGCGTCCAGGGCACTGGCCAACAGCGGCTTGGTCGTGTTCATCTCGTCACTGATCATGTAGTGGATCACGGCGTCGACAGCTTCGTTGTAGGGCAAGTTCCCCACGTGGATGGAAGCTCGCGTGGCCGGCAGTTTCAGGAAGTCGTTGAATGGGTCGTTTCCTGCGTCGTTCGGCTGCAGGTAGTTGTACTGGTTGGTGAATCCCGTTATGTTCTGGAAGAGTGTCGGGTAGGGAGAGACCGTGCCGATCAACACAGTGTCCCACAGTAGAAATGCTTCCGCCAGATCCCCCTGGTTGATCAGATCCACGGTTTGCGTGGCTACGTCGTGGAACTGTTCGCTTTGTTTGGCGTCAACCAATCCGACATTGTAGAAGTACTCACTGTAGTCCACCTGATTGATTGGATCGACGAATCCATCACCGATCGCCATGCCTTTCAGGTTTATTTTCACCTCGGCTGTTGGGTTTTCCACGTGAATCTTGTTGACGATTGCTGGCAGATACTTGCCTGCATACGACTCCCCGGACACGTAAAATTCATTGTCACGGAACTTCTCAAATGCGGTGAAGAACTGCGTAAGAGCCGAATACAGATCACGAGCCACGTCTTCCTCGTTCCTGGCAAAGCCTTGCTCGTCATAGGTAAAGCTGAATCCTGTGCCTGTGGGATTGTCGATATACAGCAGGTTGTGGGTATTGCTCCAGCTGAAGTTACGAGCAACCAGATTCAAATCAGTGTCGACACTGAATGGGCCATTTTCTGCAAACAGGCCGTAGAGACTTGAAGCGCCCGGGCCACCCTGTAGCCAGAGCAGAACTGGAGCCTCGAGCGGAGACGCCTGCTGACACTCGAAGAACCAGAAGAAGAGGTTCGAGTTGCGCTCCTTGTCGACGGTGATAAAGCCGGAGTGACTGGTGACATTGGCGCCGGCGCCGGGAAGGCCGAGCACCCTGCTCTGTTCGCGGGCCTGCTGCAGCTCCGCGGCCTCGATCAGCGGGGTCAGGAACAGCGGCTCGCCCGGGTCGGCGGAGCCGTGAGCCCTGCACACCAGCACCAGCGCCAGAAGCAGGGCTGCCAATGAGGGCGACACCATAACCACTGCTGCTCAGGTCACTCGCAGAGATCTACTGGCAGCGGCTCCACTTACCTGAACGGTTCCTGAACTCCGTGTGAGAAGTAACAGCTGTTTTAGTCCGTATCTGTCAAGGCCGGCTGACCTTCGTGGAAAGGTAGGTAGTAGGTACAACGATTCTAACTTACTGTTCTCTCTTTAAACCATATGAGTTTTTTTAATCGCTGATACGCGAAGGCTCTGTTACCTATCTGTCAATCAGAAACACAAGGACTAGAGTTGCAAAGTTTTCCCAATGGGCTGCTACCGGCACCGCCCCGCCCCACAAAAATTTTCTGGGATACCGGCATGCTACCATGGGCGGCGCCACCGCGGGGGACGGGGGGGACAGGTCCCCCGCTATCGAAAGTTAGGGGGTACAGTACCCCCCTATCGGCGAGGCCCGTTCAATAGTTGATAATAATGCATTATAGAGCTATCCGTCGCATTTAATGCATCGTTGGTTAATCAAGGCAGGTTCTGAATAAAGATAGCTGTTGGGATGCATCGCAGGGGGTCCTGGCCATCTGCAAAAGGTGTGGAGCTGTGATGCCTGTAGTTATTAGGTGATCGGCATGGCCTCGGGGATCGTGGCCCCTTTTTGGGGAGCCAGGCAGGGTTATTACTTATTACCTCCCCACCCCACTGCCAGACCCCATTGCCGATAAAACCAAGTTCACTGAAATTCCATAGATTTCCGTTACTATATGAAAATTTTCCATTCCTAATTAGTCAAATTCAAGCATGGCAGTTCTACCACAGGAACCATTTGAAATCTATGCCATTTAACCCCAGCACTTGTGGGGAGAAGTGTTCGGATAGATCACAGGCAGGACCAAAAAAGCACGCAGTAGCCCAAGACCTTATAATTGGATATAGCATCGGCTCCCTCTCGTCAACTGTCAAGGGGTTCGATAGCACTCGTTTTTTTCTGCAAAACTAAGTTGGGTCGGCGGCCGAACGGCTGGGGGTCTAATCGAGCCCCCATCCCTCCCCTTCTTAGTCAGCGGCTGTGAAAATGTCATTACCAGCTGTTGAAACATGGCAGTTGCTTTTGCATGAGTGCACGAAAGGGTTTTAGGTCCGTGATACGTGAAAGGTTCTACATGAAAATTGAGATACACCAGCTTATCAAATTGTGCTCACTGTGGTGCGCTCGGTTTTACCTTGACTAGTCTTTGAATTCTGGGGTGAAACAGACCAGTCAAGAAACCTGTTCCATAATGAGAGCCAGTAATGCTAAAGAGATGTGGGATGAGGTTTCCAGAGACCTTCATTACCTCCCAAAGGGGGTGCCCCGCCATTTGCCAATCCCTGCTGTAGTTGTTACGATTGGAGGGTGAATATGAGAACGATGCAGGTCGTGCCAGCTCGATCATGAGAACACAATGGTGCCGACATCACAGCTCTACTGCCATTTTTGACGAAGTTAATCAACAAGCACCGGAATCCTACCCTGGGGCATTTCACCTGCAGAGGTCGCCGGACCTGAGACCCGTATTTAGTCGACGGACCTGTATTTAGGGTCTTGCTGAGACCCTTTCACTCAATTTTTTCAACGGTGCATGCGCTCGTTTTTCCCGCGAAGCTCTTGGCAAGTAAAATCCATCAGAAGAAAGTGTGCTCAAATAACGGCTGGTGACCTTCCATGACCTAGCATGGCCTTTTGAGTGACCACCGATGACATGACCACTGACGGCTAGCCATTAGCTGCACCCTGCCCGTTGCATATGGATCAGGTGGTGATGTCATGATTCTGAAATTATATTGCAGTTTTGGCGCACTTGTCAGAGCAGAAGACATTCCCACTTTTCCTCCATGACTATATGATGGTGAAGCCCTGAAGCTGACCAGACGTAAGATTGAAAATTTGAAAGTACGAAACGTAAGAATAGCTGGCACTGCTACTCATACCTAAGCAATTCGCAGCAGCATGCAACTGAACAGGCAGGCAAACACAGCCGCGAGCTCATATATCGGTAATATTATGAAAGAAACACCAGGGTCCATTCGCGAGCGGAGCCTTCAAAACATACACATGAAAATAACAGGGTCTGAATCTTCCAGGAGAAAAACATACATCGATTTTAATGCTGATTTTACGGTTCACCCGATATATACTAACAATGTTTCAGAACGGGCTCGTACAGCACTTACACGACTAAGGCTATGCTCACACCGCCTTAAAATAGAGACAGGGAGGTGGGCTAGAATCCCAACAGAAGAGAGGCTATGCTCCTGTCGGCTCGGTGTGCAAACAGAGGCGCATGTACTTTTAGACTGCCCAATCACTGAGCCACTTAGGAGAAATTTTACAATGCTGAGCTTTGATAGTTTGGCAAGCTTGATGAAAAGTAGTCCAAAGGATTTGGCCATATACTCTCAGAGAGTTTTGCTGGCATGTGAGAACGTATGACGCGACGGATTTTAATGTGGTGTTTAGGTATAGTTTTAATGGACGCTGGTTCTCTGTATGAAATGTTTGACGGTTTTAATATGTTTTGTATATGATCTGTTTTAATGGACACTTGTCTTCTGGGTTTTATCCATCTAGTACCTAAGACTGTGTCAATAAATTACTACTACTACTACTACTACTAGGAAACCAGCTTTGAGTTGGCAAGACTGCAAATTTTGATTTAGAGGCAAGTATGCTTGAAAAGGTGATCGATCTTAGGTGTCCTAGGATAAGTTTGGAAACGGGATGCACCATTCGATGTGTTTTGGGCCTTGCCAAGTTTCGCGGCGTTACGTGCCTCGTTTTTTTTTTTTGCATACACGATCAGTATCTACTTTTGGGATTTTCGATTTTCGGTCCCCGTCCCCCCCTATCGAAAACCCGTGGCGCCGCCCCTGCATGCTACCACGCCCCAAGCAAAAAAAAAAACGCCAAATTACCGGTATGGGCTTTGCCTGGCCAAGGTCTGGTCACTAAGGTTACAGTACCTATCTCTTTTCGCGACGGGCTTTCTGGCGATTGGCGAATGCACCAAATTTGACCAAATCTGCACCAAATCTCTTTTATAGCAAAAATCTTCATATCATGATTTTATTTCAGTGTTTTATTAGTAAATAATGTCTGATAGTTAAAACAAACAGGTATATAAGTAACTCTTCAACCCAAGATGATAACTTCTAAGAAACACAATTAACCTAATTTGACCAAATCTGCAACAAACCCGCATCTAATGTGCATCAAATCTGTACCAGATAGCCGTCGTGAGAAGGCCTAATATGAACCCGACTATAC